TCAAAAAAAAAAAAAAAAAAAAAGGATAGAAGAATGTATTGCTGCATCCAAGGGCAGGAATGCCCTCAGGCCCCCAGAGGGGAACAAGATTCAGAAAATGGGAACCAGGACTCTGTGTTCCATTCTTGTGGTTTACTCTGCTGTGGGTTCCTGTAGTAGAATACAGCCTGTCAGTCTCGGTTTGGTGATTGCTGCCCTAGAAGAAAGTGCAAAGCAGAGAGAAAAAAATGTGAAGTGTAGGGTGGCTTGGCTAAGTGTTCAAGGTAAGTGGTGAGAGAGGAGCTGGGAAGATTGTGGAGGACCTTGGGGGCTGAGAGGTGCCTAGAGACAGAGTCAAGTCAGAGGGAGGAACTAGGGGCCAGGTCAGATAGTTTGGCCTTAGGAACTGAGCCCAGGAAAAATGTGGCTAAGCATGCATAGTGGAGGTGAAACTGTTGGACAAGGAGGATGGCATTAGGCCTCTGGCTAAGGCCCCTAATCTTCATCCCACAGGGGAACAGAACTTCATCAAGTCACTGATCAACTTTGATAAAGACAATATCTCAGATAAGGTTCTGAAGAAGATCGGGGCCTACTGTGCCCAGCCTGACTTCCAGCCTGATATCATCGGCCGTGTCTCCCTGGCTGCCAAGTCCCTCTGCATGTGGGTGCGGGCCATGGAGGTAAGGGTGTCCGGGCTGGGGCAGGGCGGTAAGGAGGGCAGGCCTGGGAGAAGGGTGGATGCACAGACCCAGGTGGAAGGAGGGGATGCCTGGAGGTGAGGGGGTTGGTGGGTTGTTGGGCGACCCCCACAGCCTGACTGTCTCCCCAAAGCTGTACGGGCGGCTGTATCGGGTGGTGGAGCCCAAGCGCATCCGGATGAACGCTGCCTTGGCTCAGCTTCGGGAGAAGCAAGCAGCGCTTGCTGAGGCCCAGGAGAAGCTGCGGGAGGTGAGCCGATCACCTGTCTTTTCCACCGAGGTCCCTCTCCCTGAATTCTGGATTGCTTCATTAAGCATTTGTTTTTTCCCATCTAATTCTACCCCACTTCCCCATGTCCTATGCCATTCCAGTCCTGTCTCCTTCCCACTCTGTGCCCTGTTTAGACTGGGCTACCTCTGGCTCAGAAAGCTAAGTCGATTGCAGAGGGTTATAAAGGCTCAGAGGCACTGTGACCCAGGAGCCCTTCCAAAGATTGGCTTGGGAGCTGGCGATCTCTGTCACACCCTTCGGAGTTGAGGCCTGAGATATTAACTGATGAAATCTGTGTGGCAAATTGGTCTTTGCCAGGGGCATGGGTCAAGAGTGTCTGTGTCGCTTCTGTGGACCAAGAACAATGTGAGAGTGTCTGTGCATATGTTGTGTGGGGACAGGCTCTCCCAGAGGCCAAGTGGGTTAGCTACCGTGAGAAGTGTGGGCAACCCAGGTGATCTCCTGCAAGATGCATGCATGAGGCTGGTCGCGGCGGCTGACACCTGCAATCCCAGCACTTTGGGAGGCCGAGGTGGGTGGATCACCTGAGGTCACGAGTTCAAGACCAGCCTGGCCAACATGGTAAAACCCCATCTCTACTAAAAATGCAAAAATTAGCTGGTCATGGTGGCGGGCGCCTGTAATCCCAGCTACTTGGGAGGCTGAGGCACGAGAATCGCTTGAACCCGGGAGGTGGAGGTTGCAGTGAGCCAAGATCACACCACTGCACTCCAGCCTGGCGACAGAGTGAGACAGTCTCAAAAAAAAATAAATAAATAAATAAATAAAGATACATGCATGAGTAACTCCTGAACCAGGCAGAATGGGCAAGTGCCATTATCCAAAGAATTCAAAATTCTTCCAGTTTATCATTTGATTTTTTAAATGATTGATTTAATAATACTACACTATCCCCAAGGTAATACAGTTACATGGTTTGAAGTGTGAAAGGTACAAAGAAGTATCCAATAAGAAGTCTCCCCCCACCCACCTTCTGTTCTCTAGCCACCAGCTTTCCTCTCTGAAAGCAGCCGATATTACCGTCACCCAGGCTGGAGTGCAGTGGCGCAATCTCAGCTCACTGCAACCTCCGCCTCCTGGGTTCAGGCGATTCTCCTGCCTCAGCCTCCCGAGTAGCTGGGATTACAGGTACCCGACACCACGCCCAGCTGATTTTTGTATTTTTAGTAGAGACGGGGTTTTGCCATGTTGGCCAGGCGGGTCTCAAACTCCTGACCTCAGGTGATCTGCCGGCCTCAGCCTCTCAAAGTGCTGGGATTACAGGCGTGAGCCGCCACGCCTGGCCGGAACCTTACTATCTTATTTACTTGTGAGTCAAAGATTGTTCCTTATCAGTATATAAAGAGTCTCTGCTTTCTTTTTACCACTGCATGATATTCCAATAGGTAGCTACAGGGACACCATCATTTATTTAACTGTTACCCTTTTGAGACACCCACTGTTTCCAGTCTTTTGATCTTCGCTTGCCCTGTAACTTTGTTGGTGCTATCTTTATATAGAAATTTAAAATATTTATATAATTGAAGCTGGCCATATAATTTCAAACTGTTTTACCTAAAACCAACTTTGAAAAACATCCAGGTTCGACCTCCACAGATCAGATGAGGAGCCTGAGGCTAGTAACATCAAGGGCTCACTGGCTCGTCACCCACAGAGCTAGGCTAGATCCCGGGTTTCCTGACTTCATGCCACTCTGCCCATGGCTCATCCCTGGTTTTTCCTGCTGTGGGCATCTTTACTATCAAAAGTGAAGCTGCCCGTGAGGTCTCTTCGGTGCGGGGAACTCACCCAGGTTGGGTGAACAGGGCTTCTCTCTGCACCTGCTCCTCCACGGTTCCATTCCTGCTACCACTGCCACCTTCCAACCTCTCACAAAACTTTACTCTTTTACTCTCTTTTCCCAAGAGTGAAGAATCACAGGTCTGGCAATCCATTTGGAAAGGTTTTTCACCTAGATGAATTATATCCTAGGCTAAATAATTAGGGGTGGTTCCTTACATACATGAAATATGAGACATCTGGGGTACACTGCCAACAGTGTCATTCATTAAACAAGCATTTATAGCATACCCAGTGATAGGTCTTCTGGTGGAGGGTCCACACCCACACTTGAGAACCCCCAAATGATAAGAGAAAGCAGATAGGGAACAAACGTTTCTCCTTTTTTATGGACAAAGCTTGTCAAATTTACAAGCCAAATGCACCTTAAAAAAAAAGAAAAAGAAGAAGAAGCAGCATTTATGTATTTATTTTTAGAGATGGGGTCTTGCTATGTTGCCCAGGCTGGTCTTGGTCTTGAACTCCCATCTCAGTCTCACAAGTTGCTGGGATTACAGGTGTGAGCCACCATGCCCCCAAATGTACCTTCCTTTCCTTCCTTCTTTTCCTTCCCTTCCTTCCTTCCTTCCTTTTCTTCTTTCTTTTCTTTCTTTCTTTCTCTCTTCTTTTTTTTTTTTTTTTGAGACAGAGTCTCGCTCTGTCGCCCAGGCTGGAGTGCAGTGGCCAGATCTCAGCTCACTGCAAGCTCCGCCTCCCGGGTT